GGCATAATGAAGCATGGCTATGATACTTTTCAAAGAGAAGTAGTCAGAACTGTGGCAGACATGGGTGCGCCTATACATTTTTGCTCACCATCCTTTCATAAAATTAATTCATTTGGAATTCTAAATGCAACTTTATTTTACATAACTTCACTATCTATTTAAAAACGTATACTTAATCGTATAATGTTCAGTAAAATTGTTATTACAGAAGACTATGAAAGTTTATGAAAACATCTAGGTTGTTCCTGAAGTCGACGTCAAATTTGCACCGGGTGATCGGCTAGGTTACAACAGTTTTCATTATTATATATGTTTAAATAACAATTTAAGTCATAATTATAGTTTTCAAATTACAGTGACTTCTGTGTTGTGTCGTGGTGGCCCGGAGGTTTAAGACGCCCGCTTCTCACGCATGAGGGTGCAGGTTCGAAACCTACCAACGGCAAGTACCAATGTGACTTTTTCCGAGTTATATGTACTTTCTAAGATTATTTAGACACCACTGACAAACGGTGAAGGAATAACATCGTGAGGAAACCTGGACTTATCAATTTCTAATTATAAGTTTGAAATCGCCAACCCGCATTGAGCAAGCGTGGTGATTAATGCTCAAACCTTCTCCGTGTGAGAAGAGGCTTTGCTCAGCAGTGGGCATTTATAGGCTGTTGATGATGTGTTGCCCACGAAAATGTACACCAATCTTTTGGCTCTTGTTACTGCAAATTTCGTCTGGATGTTTGCTTCCGTTACCCTGGATAGTAGCTGCAGTAACGTGGAACGATAAATTCTAAACCAATTGCTTTAGTTTGGAAAAGGACGAATTTTTTGGAGAACCAATTATTCTTAGTAAATTTTACATCTTACTTTAATTAAGTGATATTACTGAAAAGTAAACGTACAGCGCTAGTAGTGCAAAGTTTCACCAAAGTTTGTGCATTTAATATGTATTCTAAAATGGTATACTTACTATTTTCTTTTTTAAATACGGAACCATTTTTTTATCAGTAAAACTCCGTTTCGAGCAATTCACTTGGACTTCATCATCGTCATATCAGCCACAAGACATCCAATATTGAACATTGGCCTCCCCCAATGATGATAACCTTTCTGCCCCAGCGGCCGTCGGATCTCCGCGCTATGTGTCCTGTCCTAGTACTATATTATAAGGGCACTCGGGGCCCGTGCCCAGGGCCCCCATCCTCAAGGGACTTCGAAGGACTGACAATTTACGATCGACACACACACGATACACGATGCGCGGCAACCGGCTACCCTTGCTTAATTGTTGTTTCGGGTCTAGGTATAATGTGTATATGAACTTGTATGTTTTTAAATGCACCCACGACACAAGAAAAAATCCAACGTTAAAAAAAACAGGAACAGTCCAAATGGGCGCTGAATAATTCTGTGCCTCAAGGACCTCAGCGTAGTCTAAGACGGCCCTGCCCTGCCCACTGCCACTTCAACTTGCTAATCCGTTACTTTTAATTCGATCTCACAAAGAAGCTCCATAACGCGCTGAGCAACCTTTGATCTTAGGTCCACAGTGAGAGACTACGTTTCGGTTTTATAGATCATCGCTGGTTATTTGGACTTAAATTCATTCTAGTATACTAAAGCGTAAAGCAAGCGTTCTAAAGCGTAACTAACATCCTCGTAACCTAGATAAATCACTAAAAAAGACTTAAATTAACTTATGACTTAATTTTTTTATATTATTTTTCTGATAATTGTTATAACCTTGCCGTCCATCTAGTGCCATTTGGACGTCGACTTCAAGGACACCTGTGTGTGAAAATAGTGCTTGTAGAAATTTAAAATTATAATTATAAACCTAATAATTAATATTGTTAAAATAAATCGAATCATGTAATCGTTACACAACTAAAGGCTCGATGGTCGAAATAAAATCAACAATGAAAGTTGTCGTAAATCGGGATGATATTCGTATGCCACAAAAAGATATTAAACATTCATTACTAAAGACAGTTTTTTATTACATTTACATTTTATGTAAGGTGAAACCGATCTTATTGTATTGTTATTGAGAGTTGAAAGTTAAATACCTAATTAATTCACTGATTAAGAAAAGAGGCCTATAGCTTGCCCTTACTTTGAATTAATTACCCTGCTTCCCTCAACGCTAACATAAAAGTACGTGTGACACCACACAGAGCGGCTAGTTTGAATAACTAATTCAAATTAGGGACGAAAATATGTGTACATTACTACTAACTGGTAACAACACTTGTATTATATAAGAGTTAAAATGTAAGACAACAATCACGATTACGATGAATCGAAAGTACGTACCAAATCCCGTAAGTTTAACATTGCCAGCTTGAAGTACACGGGAACGGTAAGTACCGCTATGACGCTACATTTCAAGTAGTTCCATTACAACAAACTGACGAGCTTTGGTACCGGACCCGTCTACTTATATATCGAGATACAATATTTAACCGTGCGAAAATATCTCTTATGTTTTATACTTTTAATAAATTCCTTTCACTTCCGGACTCCTACAGCAATTATTTAAATAATATTAATGCCGAAGAGATCATTTAAAAAATACAATTTTGATATACATAATATTTGTATTGGCCGAAATTTTACATGTATAAATTATATATCATATTATTAGTAATATCTAAATAAAACCTTAATTACTTTGAGAGCCAGGAATACCTAGTGCTAGTATACAATACGACTAATATTTACAATGAGATAATTATTGTATAAATATTTATTTATCTAGTGTCGTTACAGATTTGAGCTATTTTTGTAAACGATAGCATTATGTTTTCAAAATGGATACCGCTACTTCAATCTTACCGACTGAAAGACTCAATATAAGTAAGTATTAAAAGTTCACGTTCAGTGTCACTCGTACACAACAACATTACCGACTCTCTTGTTAAATCACTGTACAACGTACTTACTTTATTAAAACATAATTAAATAAGTAGATATAAATCTAATAAAATGAAATAATTTGAAACCATTGGAAGACCAACATCACAACGTAAATATAAAACAATACAAAATAATAGACTTGCACGATTGTTAGAAAGTGTTCGCACCAAAGTTCCTTTCTCAAACGTCACGCATTCATATACTCGACACTCTCACTCTGTGGTGCAAGACATATCACTTACATAGTCTAAGTCACTACATGCATTGATAAACAAAATGGTGATTAATGACTGATTGCAATAATTAACATTGATAAAACCAGTACAAATATTTTCTAATAGATACCCCATTATTACCAACTGAATAATTTCCCTTAGTAATTCTTACACGCAACTCGCTCGTCTCAGGGGAACGTATCAAAACAAAACATCTCTTGCTACAGATACAGAGGCGTTAGTACCAGTACCCGTACCTGCGTTCAGCGCTCTGATTGGTCGGGTCCAATGAACCAACCAATCAGAGCGTCGAACCCGGTCTCGTTTCGATTACTTTACATATAAAACAAACTTGCACTAAGGCCTCTAATGTGGAGTAAATGTACTAAGTATATCATACATACATAATTCTATAAAATATATTCAAATATTCAATATCCTTTCTAATATATCGATTCTTATATTGCAACGAAATTCAACTTGATCAATTCTATTAAAAGTTATTACGGCATATAGGTATTTGTAAGTAATATATTGTTATATAAAAAGGCTCCATACCGAGATGATAAAACCTACTGAGCATCTAAAAAAGACTAAATAAATTCAATGGTAGGACTACTTTAGACCTTAATATCATACACGTAAACGCCAAAGAGTTTCGGTGTAAAACCGCAACGAAATAATGAATTAGTTTTGCAATAACACAATATTTAAGTCTTACAACACTCACCAACAAAAGATTTAAATACAAAATAAGAATTGAGATCGTGCCCATAATGACAATGGCTAAAACGATATAACAAATGATCTGTTAGTTCAATAACCAATTAAAAGCAAATATAGATATGTCCCTATAAGTCTGAGGTCACTTTAATGTCATATTGCTAAAAACTTTAACTACAATAACGTGTTTCATACCAATTTGACGTCAAAGGATCCTCAGAAGAAAGAAGCTTGTTTTTGCTTTCCTTTATTACCTACTTGTAATGTCTGTATAATTATGGATAACTCATACTGTCTGACTGCCTCTTCACATTCATTTAGATGTGACACTGGGCAGCCGGGTGCGTGAGTCAAGTTAGCTGCGACCGCATGGATCTTACATTGTTTAACAATTTAACATCAATATACTATGGAAAAGGGAACAAACCATTAGTACCATTTATTATTTAGATAAAACTAGTTTAAACATATATAATTTTAAATTACCGAATTAATTTGACCATGCATCGCCAATTCTCATAGACTCACACCCGGTTTCTGAAAGGTTGATCAACTCGAGTTACTAAGAGTTAGAGTGATGACAGAATCATGTAAAAATATCCCTTGAATTATTTCAATAATAAAATTCAACACCTTTATTGAAGTATTTACAATGAGCTGTTTGATTTTTTATATTAAGCATTAAAATAGGTGTTATATAATTTTAACGCCTGACTACTAACTGCCACGTTAGATGAGTGGCGAGTGTCACCTTCTCGGTTCCATACGCCTTCTTAGATGGAATATATTATTTATTATAAGTCGTTGGATTTGATCACCATGACAACTGACAAGTGTTAGTTGATTATTAATTTGACAAACCTTTGAGAAACTGGGTTAAAATATTATCAACTTTTTGGGATTTTTTTTATCTTTTTATTAATTAAAAAAGTATTTCTAGTTTCTAGATAATAATAAAATACTATAAACGAGTCTCTCTATACATTAATTTAATCACTGTAGTAAATGCTTTTGCATTCATGATCAAGTTTCGTGGCATGAGTCCATCGTGAGAACAAACCCTGCTTGGGGTGTTGGCGGATGTCTCGTATATGTCGGGCGATGCTACTACTGGCGCACAATGATGGAGATGGTGTATCCGCATCGCTAACTGGCCGTAGAAGTCGGTTGAAAAGGCGCTGACGCGATTGGAGAGTTTACTGAAATAAAAATGTATATATTTTTAAAATAATGTGTTGATGAGATACTTAAGATGGCAATCAATAATACTTAATATTTAGAATATACAGGAATCCTAAAACTTAACGGTAAACGTTCGGCAAATCTTTCTCTGTTACTTTTTACAAGTTTTTATTTAACATACAATGTACACATGTATGTAAGCAAGTATGTACGTATGTGGATATAATGTTCAATAGAACGATTAAAGGTAATTCCTGAACTAAACTTTACACATAACATAACATCACGCCTTTTATCCCCGAAGAGTTAGGCAGAGGTGCACATTATACCTCTGTACAATGTAACACCCACTTTTCACTATTTATGTTATGAGTCCCATGTAATAGGGGGTGAGCCTATTGTCATATACCGGGCACAATTCCAGACACCGTGCTACTACTGAAAATATTTAAAAAAAAACCCAGTAATACTTTGCCCGACCCGGGAATCGAACCCGAGACCCCTTACCCGGCAGTCGCACTTACGACCACTCGGCCAACGAGGCAGTCAACTAACTAAACTTTATTTAAATAAAAATGCACGAATAAAAGTGAACGAAATGACACTGACAGTTATTAATAAACGTCACATTATCGGCTTACTCACGTAACTGTTTGAAGTGGAACTTAATTAATTTCAAGCCATGCTAGAGGCATTCATGAGCAGCGTTCCGCGACCCGCCCACACCATTTTTAGGCATTATTCTTTAAACATTTGTAGCAACAGGAATGAAAATATTTATTAAAGTACAGACTGTGACACAGTCTGTACTTTTGTGTGGATAACACAGGTCACACTACAGGTCGATGTTCTACTAATACTTAGAAGAAACTACTTGTTTTTATTCTAGTAATACTTACTAGTTGGGGTATTTACTTCCGAGTGCGGAGTAAGGTTCGACTGAGCCATCAGTTTCTGTCTCACTTCCCGAATTTTCAATTGTAGTGCCATTTTTGTTGGGAAAATATCCATGTGCGAAGCCTGAGTAAGAAAACAACATTATTTTTATTTACTGTACAAATTCTTTTATTCAAAGTCATAGTAAAAATCATTTAGATTAGGAAGGCACTTTTGAACGGCAACAACTTTAAAATCCTTGGTTGCAATAAAGTCCAAAATATGTCCGTGTCTAGTCCAGTTTAGTCATATTGTACTTGTATGCAGTAGATAAAAATTCGATTTGTATATTAAACAGTTTTAATGATGTCTATTGTACCAATCAAACCATTTCGTTTTATATTCATAATGGAGGTAATTGTGAAAAAAATTAGATTATATTGTATGGTTTGATAACCAAATTAAGAGTGTGTACCAAATATGACATCGATTTGTCGTCAGGAATCAAACAAACGGGGCAAGCTAAATTAACCATTACATAATAAGGGCTCTGTTCGCGGGTAGTGCGTCACCTGGAAGTGCGTGGTGGCCTGCGTGGTGGGGAACATGCCGTGCTCCTGGAACAGCTTGAGCACGAGGTGGCGGCGCGCCTCCAGCACGCGGCGGTGGCCCGCCTCGCCGCGCGCGCCGCCCGCGCCGCCCGCGCCGCCCGCGCTGCACGGCGTGCGCGGGGACATCTCCTCCGCGCCCTCGCCGCCCACTGCACACGACCACGCGTCAATTAAAGTAAAACGGACAAACATTCCTGCAATTATTTAACCCCTCGTCGAATCTACGTAGTACAATTAACAGGTACTTTTTCTATGCGCCGATTGCTTATATGTGTTCCGTCTGCTAGTTTGCTGACAAATCCCAATCAGAAAACTTTATCCAGTTAAGTCTTTCTACCTGCCCTTTGGAGATAAACAATAAAAAAGGTGACAAAAAAAGGACTTAGAAATCCAAGTCACTACTTGGATTTGAAGTAACATACCTCGATAAGTGTCGAGATTGAAGTCAGGTCCGAAGAAAGTGTTCCCGACGAGTTTGTTGGTGGTGGTATGCGGCGTGCCATACGAGTGCGGTGTGGGCATTCCGTTCCCGTTCACCACCTCCGCCTCCAGCTGCGGGGTTACCGCCGTGCCTTCTTCCTCTGTGGGTAGTACCAAACATATAAGTATCAAAAGAAAAAAGAGATGACATATTTTAACGAATTGACGCCCAAATACTGAAAGGAAACTCAATTTTAAATTGAACTTAAATGTAGCACCGTCTCTGTCATTTCCAAAGAATTTGTAGTGACGGAACTATAAGCGCGACTTAAATAAATGAAAAACAAATACTGTTAAATAAATACTTATTAAAAAAACCTATAAAATATTATGTACAAATTTTAGATTTAAAGAAATAAATAATTGGCAATATTTACTTTAGTATTCTTGGTGGAGAAACAAGTATGGATTCCTAAAACTAATTGCTGGCGTGTACAACGAAGTATTTAAAATGACAAATTAAGAGACAAACTCACCCATTTTGTTGTGTTTCTTCCTTATGTAGAGCTGTGGACTACGCGGCACCACCATAGCGCTGGGGCTGCAGGCCTCCGGCTTGAACTGGGGCAGTGTACTGAACTTCTGCTCGAAGTTTACCGTCTCCAGTACCCTGCAGTACAACAACATGGAGTTACCTTGATACTTATGTGCAGTTTCTGCTTGATAGGCTGCTCTTATTGATCGTAACGTGATGTATTAAAGCCTGTCCTAAATATTCTGCTTCGATAAATAGACTCAAAAAGAATTATACAATTTGAACCAGTACATTATCTAACGGGTTCAAACGTATAAACAAACAAATCTACTACTATTGCTAAATAATAGGGATGAAAATTAAAAATCAATTTAGTCCATCAGTTAGGTAATGAAAAAATATTAGACAAGTATTTTTTTTTTCATTTTTCTCACATAATGAAAGAATATAAGTAAGCACTTCTATCTAAATAATACACACTTAGCTAATACTTAGATAAAACGAATAAAAGTTTAGGAGTGGGAGCTAGCTAAGTCATTTTTGAGTATAAAACGTACACAAAACTATAGACTCCATGTCCTCACAGAAAACCGGTGTTGGTGAAACGACACTTGCGTTGTGTTTCATCGTGTGGGTGAGGTTATCGGAGGCCCAAGTATGCTTCTCCCCAATCTCCCCAATCATCGAATCCCCAATAATCCTCAAATCCCTAATCCCCAAAAGGCCGGTAACGTCCATGGACGTTGATGATTGCTTACCATCAAGTCCTCTCGTTTACCGGCTTATTCGATAAAAAAGCCTTACTTGTCTCGGCCGTCCTCGTTGCGTTTCTTGAAGAGACTCTTCTTCTGGTTGGGGCTGGGCAGGTCTGCGTGCTTGGGCGAGCTGCCCCCGGCGGGCCCGTCGCAGTCGGGGCGCGCGTCCGCGCAGTCCGCGCCCGCCGCGCCGCTGCCGCACGACCCCGTCGACGTCCCTAGCGACATTACACTATTACGTTATTATACATTTTTATTTTAGATTATTATTTTTTTTTTTTTGATTGTGCCAATTTTGTATGTACCTATGTTATTTTATAATTCTGCTTGTCTTTTTTTCTATTACTCTCAGTTAGTTATCTGATAAAATATGTGTCATCATAATAAAATAGTGATTAATTGACTTATGTTACCTCGACTGAGTCGCTTCTGTAGCGGTGCCCTGCCGAGCTGTGCCGGCGTGGGTGCGAGAGGGAATGGCCGCGTCTCTTCCACTGGTGTTTCCCATTGCCTGAGAATATTCCACATCATAAATTACAATTTTACAATGCATCATAAAATATTGGTCAGATGAATCATGACTTCGGGTCTTCAACATACTACAAAAGTAAATTGAATGATCACAAGTGCGCCTGTCGACAAGGGGTCTCGGTTTCGATTACCGGAGCCTTAATTTTTTATTATTTTAAATGTCTACTTTGACCGGACTATATAGAATTGAAGTATAACAGTGATGTAATCGCAGGCGGTACTCACGCGTTGAGTTTGGTGGGCGCGCCAGTGTTGGTCTGCGAGACGATGACGGACGGGGCGGGCTGCACGCTCAGCAACCCCTGGCCGCCACTCTTCGGGGGCTCCACTTCTGTACGACACACACGTACTTATTCATCTTATATAGTCCAGGACAGTTAGCAAATTAAGCATTAAACAATAAGGCCTCACTCATGGAGACGAGGCGCGTTTAGTTTTCGTGAGATCTCTTTTAGTATAATATTTTTTTTTGTACATGCTTCGGCGTATCTGTATAATAAGTAGATAGTTTGTTTTGCCTTATAAATGCTTTGGGATATTTAGTTTTATTTAACATCGTATGTTATCATAATTATCTTGAAGGCTAATTTATTTTGGTATAAATTGAATTCACATAACGTAACAAGACCTAATGACTAGACTATGACCTTAGACGTAAGCCTTGCGCAACACTCGTTTCTCTAGCGACAGTGCCGACGGATGTAGACGATATTGTTTGACAAAAGATTCTTGCTGATTTTCGACATGTTTAGCAACATGATGATGACATGTCGCATGCGAAGTGTTGCCTAGATACGAGGTTTTAAGGTATGTACGCTTTGGATATACTAAAATAAATTGTAAGTAAGTGTAAACAGATTATACGAAACGGAGTTTCGCAGAAAAAAACATTTTGGAACGAAATATCTAAAAAACTATGCAGAACGTACGTATACTATTTTAGATTCCTTATTAAATTAGCTACTACTAGGGCAAAAGGAGCCGTAGCTAGTATTTGAATATATTAGTTTTGTAATAAAAAAGGATAACTCACCAGTATTGAATGTTGGTACATACAACCTCTGCAGATGGACGCAGTGCATGGACTGGTCGGAGGCAGGGCTGTCGGTAGACTGGCTCGGCTTCAGGAGCAAGTTGCCTGACGCATCCAGGGAGAGCGTCAGGGGCCCAGGACCTGGAGAAATAACTAATGTTCATTATATCTATACTATCATATATAAGATATTACATATATGTACCGATTTGTAAGAAATTTCGAGTAAAGTGGCATAAATGGACATCATAATTTGCGGAGTAGTTGAATAAATACATCGTTCGAGATACTGAGACTGTGCACAGTAGCGAATAGGGTTGACGACAGGGAATGAAGATTAAAAATCTATTAGTCCTCAGTTAGATAATGAAAAATAAGACACGTATCCCATTACAAAACTAGAGCATGTCACACATGAAAGAAATGTAAAGCAATAATAATTTTGACATGAAAGAAAGAGACAAAACGGATATTTAAAAGGACAAACTAGTGTAAATTTAATTTTTTACATTTGAATTAGATGTTACTTGTTAAGATTATTCTATTGGCCAAGGATCCATACACATAGCTACAAAATGTATTTTTCATATAAATAAAAACTAGAATAACAGAAAGTACGCAGGGATCACAGACATGGTTGGTACAGAATTGAGTGTATTGGTGCGCGCATGCGTATTGAATTGACACACACTACATCAAGCTAATGTGTTGTTGGCTCGTTGCCTCAATGCGGAGTCCATAGGGTAAGACGTCGATGATAGCAACCGTACAATGAAGTCATAAAAAGTTAACATTGAACAACAACAACAAACTTCAAGTAATACGTGACATAATATGTTTTATGTCAAACAGTTTTAATAAACTATATAGCACAAATCAAGTCCTTTTATTTGATATCCATAATAGAGATAGTTTTAAAAATGTTATAACAATTCCTTATATAATCAGTAAATTACATACTAATGCATTTTTTTGTCTTTTTGTGATATGCACCCAGGGAATCACTTGTTATGTTTCTTATTATCTACTAAATGTTTACCGTTTTTTTTGCATGTACAAAGTACTTGTAAATGGTTCTTTAGGTATTTAATCAGTAATGTATATAGTGTAAACAATTGTTGGTTAACCGAAATATTATTATGTACTAGTTAATATTTATTTTTTTGTATGTACAATACTGTATCATTAAGAGTGTGTACCAAATATCAGATAGATCTGTCGTCTGTCATCAGAAAGGGGGTAAAAATAAAATTAATAAAGATCCAAAGCAATAACGGGTCAAGCAAAACAAAATCGTTCAAAAATAATAATACTTACAAGGCGAATTGTCCCCAAGACTCCGTTTGACGAAGGTGAAGCTCTTAAGCACGGGGTTACCTAGCGGTGTGGACGCCATTGGCGTAGACGTCGGCGTCTGAATCGTGTTGGAAATACCGCTCGATATAACCTGTAAAACAATCGTCGACCTGTTAATCACATGTCATCAACAGCCTATAAACCTGCTGTGCAAAGGCTTTTTCTCACATGGAAAATGTTTGTGTATTAATCAATGCTTGCTGAAGTTAGATTGGTGATTTCAAACTTATAATTAGACATTATAAGCTCAGGTTTCCTTACTATATTTCCCTTTTTTCTTCACCGTATTTCATCATCATAATCATCAACAGCCTATATGCCTACTGTTGAGCAAAGCCTCTTCTCACACGCAGATTTGAGCATTAATCACCACGCTTACTCAATGCGGGTTGGCGATTACAAACTTATAATTAGAAATTATAAGCCCAGGTTATCCTCACGATGTTTTCCTTCACCGGTTGTCAGTGGTGTCTAGATAATTTTTAAAAGTACATATAGCTCGGTAAAAGTCACATTGGTACTTGCCGTTGGTAGGTTTCGAACCCGCACCCTCATGCATGAGTGGGGCGGGCGCCTTAAACCTCCAGCGAGCGTATGTGTGTAGTGCGTAAGTAACAAGGGCCAGTACCTGGGCGGGCGCGGGCGGCGCGGGCGGCGCGGCGATGATGTTGGCGATGGCGGAGTCGAGCGAGATGGTCTGCACGCTGTGCGCCAGGCTGCCCGCCACGCTCTGCTTGTTCAGCGCCGCCGCCGTCCACAGCCTGTGGGTATCGTCTGGGAAGCGCGCTTTTATTACTATGACACTCATTAATAAAGGAAGAAAGAAGTTTATAGAAGACATTTTAACAGTAACCGATAGCACTATGAGAATTGAGACAATTTAGCAAACGGATGACACGATATCCATTCGAATAGTCCTGACTGGGGAATTCAAAAATCGCGAGATTGTAGGTCAAGTGGGATTCAGCGAATTTATAAAATACAAAGTACCTGTGTACCTGTGATCTGTAATGTGTTCTGCTATATGTTGTAAATGAATAAATAAATTTCTAAATTGAAAGTTTTGTATCTCTTTCTCTTTAAATCTCTTTTATCTCGCGACATCTCGTCCATATTTCGATCTAGATTTATCTCGGAAAATGGGATCAGAAGAATTCTGCCTAAAGTTAAACAGTCGAAGTTGTGAACAAAAGTTAGTTTTTTTAATGAATTTTAAGTAATTTATACTTTTAAACTGTGAAATAACAATTGGAAGAAACAACCAGTCTTCATTTCTAATATCAAATTAAAATCTTATAGTAAGGCAATTTCGTTAATCTAGCGAGATCTCGGTCATTTTTCGAGCGAGAACGATCTCGTTAAAAAGAGACGAGATGACATTCGAGATCAGAACGAGATAGCATTCCCTAGTCGTGTAGTTTGATCAGTGAATCTGTGAACCTTTGGGAAAGTTCGCAAACTGAGCTGCGAGCGTAGTACTACTTACTGGTATCAGCGTGCGTAGATTTGAACGCGCCACCTGTTGGCTGGAAACCCTTCGGTCCACCAGGACTAGACGCTGTAATACCTCCGAGGAGATTGTCTGAAGAACCAGCCCTGAAAATCGAAAAAGCGCAAATTCATGAACTTGACAAGTACGCCAGCACCGCCAAACTCAACCAATTTGAAGGGAAGTTAAAGTCTTTAATGATAATAATAATTATTATTTCATATTTATGACACACCTTTTTGTAAATATGTCAATATTTGTCGTATTGCAATATTAAAAGGACAAACCCTTATTCAATGATTTTGGCAAAGATTAATATATACAAAGGCCGGTGAGTCAACAACAACGATGAGTCAATATAAGCACTGAAGACATTTTCAATTTATGTCATCTGTGTCGATGTTACGTAGTTCGGTCGTAGCGTCCCAGATAGGTGTCACTTACCTAGCTTTGATGGGTTTGGGCCTCCTAGTGTGGTCGTGGTGTGACGGCAAGTAGTCCCGCGTGTCGAGTCCTTCAGAGTCCGAGTCGGTCACTTTTTCTCCACACTTCAGGTCAATCTCTAGGTTTTGTACCGCCGGCGGAGGTTCTTCTGTCTGTGATGGCTGTAAATTGTACATAGTACGTTATAACCTAAGTTTAAATATTTAAATTACATATTTATTAGTCTTACGAATACTGAAAGGCTATACGATTTTAATTTGTACTTAAATATCGTGCCACGTCTTTTATTTTACAAAGAATTTGTAGTGACAGAACTATACTCAATCGCGACTTAAAATTTAGCCAGTAATTAGACATTACTCGTATGAATTGGGTACTTGCCTTCATCAAAAATAAACTATTTCTACTATTCAATACAATAAGATATTAAAAAATAATCACACTTTCATTAATTGATTTTATGACTAAATTTTAATATTTTTCCAGCATTTTTTTAAGAAATAAGTGTACTGTTTGACGCTAAATAAACGTGACGTCACACAATATCGTGCAAAAAAAGTATTGAATTTGACTAGTTGGCAAGTACCCAATTAAATATTTCGAAGTTTAAAGCTGGCTAACTAAAATCACAAACAGACTTCATAATAGAGAGTCACGTCCATGACGCTCAAGGGAATGTTGCATAGGTAACAAAAAATTGACATTGATTGTAGCCTTGAAACTACAAATGATAATTACAATACGTACCATTTGCTCATCGTCACTAAGCTGCGGAGATCCCAAATGGTTGTATGACGCAACAGGCACCGGCAGATCTGCATTGATCGTGACAGAACCGCTGGTGACCACCTCTGAAGGCGTTCGAGGACTCTAACAAAGAAAACTTGTTTAAGACATTTTGACTTATAACAAATATGCTTCCAAACCTCAAACATAAGGCAGATATATCGCACAGATTCCTGGGTTGAGACACTTATCATTGAACTTTTGAAAATTCCCTCCAAATGTTTCCAAGGTTTCCAGACTCCTTTCTGGATTTGTGTCGGAAGTATAGTAGTCTAGCTGACTTGCTAAAGTACTTGTTAAGTTAATAAAACACATTAATATCTTTCTGAGTACAAATTTACCTGTGGCATGGACCCAGTAGGATCTTTACTGCTGGAAGACTTCCTTCTATCCTTGTTGCACCATTTCCACTCTGGATGAGCTTTGAAATGTGCTTCTTTTACCTGAAAATAAAGACAATTATGGTTAAAAGGCGTCGTGACGGCCTGAACAATGCCAGCCTCCTAAGGTGGCTGTCGAGGTTTTTAGGGATAAATGTAACACAATCAGCCAGCCTAACATCCCTAATAAGTATTTTAAACATACTAACCTCGCTAGCGAGTTCGTTGTACTTCTGTTTCTCTTCAGGCTTCAGTGAGTACCACCACTCGCCCAGGATCTTGCTGACAGTACGGTTATCTTGATTGGGGTGCATTTGATGCACTATCTGTCGATGGCGCTTTGAAAAGATCATGAACGCATTCATCGGACGACGGATGCGACGCTCCTTCTGTAATACGGAGAAAAATTAAGATAAAAAATGTATTTTATAATGTTGTGAAAGAAACCATATTAAGGCCTACGTCTCTTGTCAGTAGAAGACGAAAGAAAAGAATGTATTTAAGTCAAAATAAGTTTTGACAAAAAGTTACATTATATAACCTAATAATAACTTGTGTCCCAAAAATCATGCGAGAAGTACAGCTTTGGAAACAAAGTTATTATTTAGTAATTGAGATCGCCTGTCGCCAGTATCGTAAAACAGTTTGAACAGACCCGCTGATGGCAGCACGCATGCGTCAATTTACAATTAGCTGGGCTGTAGTTAGTTGACTGATCCGACGAACAATATCAACTAAAAGAACATTTAGGTAGGTCGCACAAATGCTCAAACTGTCAGAACGTAAGTAACTAAACGTAAAAGGGCTTTTAAAAAAAGTTAAACCATTTATTTCAATTAATCCTTAATTAGACACTTTTGAAACGTCAAAAATTGAATTGTCCGTCCGTCTGTCCGTCAGTGAAGCTAGGCGCTCGTTCCAAAGTGTAGTTTCGAATGGAGAAGAACGAGAAAGAAACTCCATCGTTACTCTTTTGAAGAAAAGGCTAGACTAGGTTAGACAGACTCCCACGGTACTTACACTAAAAATTGTAAAAAAAAATAAACTTTACGTTTAACAAAAATGTCTATCAAGACTAGCAACAAAGAAAGTACTAATATTGAAAAGAAAACTTCAGTACGTTACCTTTTCCTGTGTGGCAGGTGAGTTAAGCGCAGACGTATTCTGTGATGGTCGCTTGTTGGGGTCATCTCCGCCGACTCCGGAGTCCTCGGACTCGAACACCTCGTCATCCTCATCCATACACATTGGAGGGTCTGGGGAAAAGCAATTAGATAATGACTGGTTTCCTTTAAACATTCGTTTGCATGCAAATCAATGACAATAAAATTTGATCGATCTTTTAGGCATATGTTTGCTATATAACCATCGTATCGCTTTGATACTCAACCTGCTGCGTTAAGCTTTTACTCCTCCTGAAACTTTATAAAAATAGAGAAAGACTTTTTTTAAGGGGACTAAATCATCGAATGACTTCTTATTAAAGTTATTCCTAACAACGACACGTCTCCCTCATTGCTCCACATTGCAGGAGTGTCAGACTCTTAGTGACTAAAAACCACCCCGTTCCTTCTCCTGCACTTCGAGCCGGACCCTACCGGGGCTCCGTTAGGTTCTCCGCGACAAATAGAGAAAGACTGAAAAATATTGATATTTACCGCTAGCCTCGGTTTTGATCTGATCCTCCGACTTGATTAGTGGGGCGGGCGTGTGTGGCGTGTGTGGCGTGTGCGGCGTGTGCGGCGTGCGCGGCGTGCGCGGCGTGCGCGGGGACGGCGGCGCGGCCGGCGGCGCGGCGCCCGCCGCCCCGCCCGCGCCCAGCAGCGGCACCAGCGACTGCCACGGGAACGTGTTGCTCGACACTGCGCGGGAACCAAGCGAACTAATCACTTATTTGTCCACATATATCATTCAGTCTTAGGAAATACATTTGCATACCGACGCCTCCATGTTTTATTATTGTGTAAAATACGTTTGTTTGAACTAAAAGAAATTAAGATTTAATCTTGAAAGTAACGTTTACAGATCAATTTTAAAGTTCATACATGAAATGGATATTGCTGTCGGCCCTTCAAGACCACATATTGTGTTCTGATTGAAAAAAAATTGACTTGTGAGATATCTTTACCCTTCATAAAGACCCCCAAACCAATTTTATACGGGGCAAGGCACGCTACGCTACTGTTCTTTTCCAGAGTCCCGAACTAATGTTGTCTTGGAACAAAAATGGTACAATAAACCATATGCTTATAGCATTTACATCAAAAAGCCTTTGAGATTAGCTTTTCTAAAGATTCCCAAGTATATGAAAGAGGTTGAGTTATATGTTATATGTCATCTCCCTCCTAATAATAACAGCGATACGTTAAACGCTACTCACCGATGATAGTGTGCGAGGCGGGCGGCGGTAAAACCGGTAGCAACTGGTTTGGGTGCACTATCACTGCACTGTTGTTCACGTTGTTTACCTACAAATATTGTTTTATTAAAATACTAGCTTTTACCCGCGGCTTTGCTCGCGTCTCAAAAGGATAAAAAGTAGCCTATGTGACATATACCAATACATACAGCGCCATCTATACCAATAGTTTTGTTTTCCCTCGGAAAAATCAAATTTTTTCGGGATAAAAAGTGCCCTATTATTTAATCCAGACTTCTAACTTTACGTCTGCAAAATTTCAAAGCAATCGGTTTAGTAGTTACGGCGTTAAAGTGGAACAAACAAACTCACTTTCCGATTTATAATATTAGTAAGGATTGTACACATACTTACTTCTGTCCGCTACTTTGTACGCGTAAAATAGTAACTTAAGGCAGATTTTTAAATTATACGATAAATTAGTTGATTTTATCATTTCACGGGCAAGAAAAAAAGAATCGTTGAATGTAACGACTAAGCGTAAATCAGCCGAACCATAAAATCTAAATCTAAATATTGTTTATAAGAAGGTTCGTATCAAAGGAAAACTTAACAAGGGTGCAAAGAAAAATTACTAAGGCGAAACAAAGTTCGCGGGGCCCGCTAATTGTACAGTTAAGAGCAAAGAATGTTCATTTCTTGATAAATATTTCCTGTTATAAGTGTTATAGTATACCTCATGATTGAGGATACTCTTTGTTGAAATTTGTACAGTTTCACTATCAGATATTGTTAGTCTCGAAATCTGCTTATTTTTATGAGATACATAATGTTTAATGGCTTTAAATCTTATACACTTATTATATAAAACTGAAGAGTTTGTTTGTTTGTTTGAACGCGCTAATATCCGGAACTACTGGTTCGATTTGAAAAATTATTTTTGTGTTGGATAGTCCATTTATTAAGGAAGGCTATACTAGGCTATAAAACATCACGCTACGGGCTATAGCAGCCGAGCAGAGCGGACGGAAATAGGTAGTAAATAATACATACATGGTCCCCGTTATCTAAACCCCGATGTTCCTGCTCGGAGTCATTGTTGTTGACTTGTTGAGTCAAATGGTTTATACGCTGCTCAATCTGAAATGTCACCACTGTTAAAGAAAGTATTTGTACAAATTAAAATTAAATGTAAAATTATTATTTACAACCTTATTTCTTTACAGCTTAGGCTACACTTTGACCGTGTCATTTGTCATCAATATTTTTCAGTTCAGTAGGTATCATAGAAGAGTTATTAAGTTCCATGAACTATAAGACAGATAGCGTCCATAACAGCCAAAAACGTTGTAAAATAGTAGTAGAATGAAACCGATTGCAAAGGGAAGAGAATGCGCTGTTTACTGTTTGTGACATTTTTATTGCACTCCGTTAAAAACTCTAAAAAGTGGTTTTATTAATCCCCCTTGCATTGAAGGCTGGTCGTGGTCAAAATCAGCATGCTCATTTCGGACTTGATTGGGTATCGACAGGTGCTCGAGTTTTGAACATTTTTGAGCATGCTTAATAGAACGCATTTTAGCATGTCAAAAAAGATAAAAATATATATTTTTTTTAATTAATAGAACATTTGTTACTACACGAATACGTCAGCTAGAAAAAAATAAAATAATAATAATAATATACTGGTGATGCTTGTCCTACTATGCCACTTAAGACTTATAATTATAAATAGTACTTACTTGCACGGTCTCCCCAGGCTCGTTCTTAATAAACACATACTTCTTGTCTGGGGTACTCTGAGGCAGCATGGTGACGTAATACCTCTTCACAGGATCCTTCACATCGGGCTCCACGACCGACAAGAAGCGCGCCTGCAACGGTGCCGGCTTTACAATCCTCTTATTGTCTTCCATTACGCGAGTCTCGGATAGTTCGGGCGGCCGAGTATCAATAACATTGCGGAGTATGTTGTTCTCTCTCTGCGACACTGCATCGTCATCGTCGTCGTACTCCGAGACTCTTCTATTGAGAAAATTTTCATGATTGTTCTGTGATGGCGACATGTCAGTGTCGCGGCGGTATGGCTCATGGATCCCGTTCCTGTGGAGTGGCTGGGTCCGGTATATCTGCTCTACGTCTATCCCGTTCGACGTCGGGATAGTCCTCGGTACTATCAAGTTGTGTGCCAGCTCGTTGGTGTTACGAATAGTGTTTGCAATGCTTGTCTGCAAGTTTTGAGTGTTCAAGTTGTTCAGATTGAGCGATATACTTGAAGGCAGAGTGAGGCTGGATAGAGTTGTTGTTGTAGCATTAATGCTAGTATGTATTGTGTTTTGCAGGTTCAGCCCTGAAGTTTGAACACCGATCACATTTGATTGGGAGGCATTATTCGTCTGAACTATTGTTGGGCCGTTTCTGTTCTCGACCTAGGTAGAGGAATACGTCAGTTTAGCGTACGTTTAATACTAATTTATAATTGTATTTTGTAGTTAGGAATTAATGCAAGGTACCTGGTAATGATAGTTAGGTCCTGGCGACACTCTGATGACGCTTGTGGCGACCCCACCGACCGGTGAGTTGACTCGACTAGGTCGGACTAATTCTGGCCTGAAATTAAAGAAGGAAAAATTAAATTATTCCTGCATTACCACTATCATAAAATCATAAATTTTCAAACTATTTAAATAGCGAGTTAAAAATATGATCTCAATTTTCCAGCGAATGTTTCATATCAGGAGTGATATGAAGGAAAAAGTATAATATATATTTGTAATAGTCATTATTATGCCCCAGTTTGATCAACATGTGACTTAAGTTAGGGTTTTTTATACTTGATAGGATGACGTTTGGCCACCATCTCGCCTGGTGGTAAGCGATTATGTCGCCGACGATGAAGTACGTCGACCTATGAGCAACCTGTACCATAGTATAAAGAACAAAGTAGGTTATCTTCATACAAATGCTCCGCGCGCGGCTTATATGTGTGCGCCATAGTATCTATGCGTCGACGCACGCACACTTTAACAAAATCTCGACCCGTTTCTCAGTGCGCCAGGCAGGGCTGACACTGTACGAGGTTCGCGCGCGCGCTTCACGGCTTTTCGGCACTGTTCAATGAAATAAAAAATGTCTGATAATCGTAGAAGAACGTATTGCTGTGTGTTTGGGTGTCTTAATAATTAATCGATTCCAGAACTGTCTCTGTTCAGATTAGGTACCTATTGAACAGGAAAGGTAAGCTAGTCACTTTTTCTAGCATAATATAATTTGTAGGTATTTGATGATGAGATACCTACTTACTTATTCTTACTCTTATCATTCTTCATAGTTCCTACTCAACCAGAAATGTAATTACCTACTATACTTAAATATTATAAGAAAATGTGGTATTGTATTGTTTATTTCACAGTTTATCTGATTTGTTAAGAGCGTAGCCGAGTCGCATTTTTCCATATAAATGTATTCCCAAATTTACTTTCTGAATACTATGTATAGAGCTAAAGTTTATTTTAAGAAGTTAATAATCTTTTTATAAACTTTTAATTTTTACTAAATTTATAAATTGATAAAATATTCAATCATAATAGGTATGCTTTTCATTTCATAAATTTAGATCAAGTGCTGCTTGTTCGAAAATATTAACTAAAAGTAAAAGTGACAACCCTGGGGATCAACGCAAGAGTAGGCTAATAACTCGGCGGGCGGCCTTAGATAACCTACTGTGTTGTTTATACTATGCCTGTACCCTCGGGACTTGAAGACACCCAAGTTGTATTTGTTAAGGATTAACATAAGTCGCATGTTTATCAAACGTTTTATGGCAATTGTGATATTCTAAAGCAACCTGATAAGATGGTGGTGGTACAGGGCGGCCGGGTGATGCGGCTGCGGCTGCGGCGAGGAGATGGGCACGAAGAGGTTGTTGCGCAGGCCGGGCGACCCGCCGCCGCCCACCCCCCGGTGCGCGCCCGGGCTGCCCGACCGCGAGCTGCCCAGCGACACTACGCATACGGAGCTTATAACACTTCCAACGCACACTAACAACTTATTCGTTTAATAGCATTAGCGTCTATATTGCGAACAGAGGCCTTAGTACGAGTTTGATTTACGTTTAAAGTATTCGAAACGAGTACGCGTTCGGCATTCTGATTGGCCGGCGCCAATGAACTAACCAATCAGAGCGCCGAACGCGTACTCGTTACGATTACGTACTAAGGCCTCAGGCCGCTTACTCTTGAATCTAATTCCGAACGATCAACACTGATACATATTGTGAAATTCCGTACTCTTGACTTGCAACGCGCTCGTGTAAATGCAATGAGTAATAGCACTCATTGCATTAACACTGACATGCGAGAAAAGCCGCAGAAAACAGCTTAAACATAAACAAGCCTCATTGCACGTAATGTTGTGTAGTAGTTGTCGTAGTGTTGCAGGCGAACATAGGCCACGGGAACCGCTTACCATCAGGTGGGCCGTGAGCTCTTTTTGCCACCTTCGTGGTATAAAAAATATATACAAATTTGTTACTACTGCCTCATTGGCCGAGTGTTCGCAAGTGCGACTGCCGGGCAAGGGGTCTCGGGTTCGATTCCCGGGTCGGGCAAAGTATTACTGGGTTTTTAAAAAATCTCAGTAGTAGCACGGAGTCTGGAAAAATGTGCCCGGTATATGGCAATAGGCTCACCCCCTATTACATGGGACTCATAACATAAATAGTGAAAAGTGGGTGTTACATTGTGCAGTGGCATTAAGTGCCGAAATGTGCACCTCTGCCTACCCCTTCGGGGATAAAAAGGCGTGATGTCATGTTATGTTAAATTTGTTACTATATGCAACTTTACCTAGCATATTAGCAGCCTCGGTTTCATCAGAATCAAACCGCCCCGTGACGCGGTAATGTGGTGGCGTAGTGTCCGACTCGCGCGACGTCTCATCGCCTTCGACTCCCGTACCACTTGAAGACAGGGATTTACTGCTGCTTCTGTAAAAATTATATAATGTTAAATCATTTTTTACTTCGAAGAGTAATATATGCTGACATCGAAAACAGCTTGACTTTAATATGTATGTTTTCAAAGGCATTTGAAATATCTGAAATATGTTGACCACGGTATTTGAAAATGTCATATGGGGTGTGCAAATTTGTAGATTTTAATGTCTCTTTCCAATATCCATTTTGCAACCTTGCACTTGCACTCGTATCTTGGAAAAATGGTGTCAATGAAGTAGTTAAATATACTACAACTATTTACCTTTGTTGTGGGGTATGAGCAGATCCCTGTGCCAATGGAGTGTTGGAAGACCTGGTCACTCCTCGCAAAGACAGGTGTCGGGAACAGAATCCCCGTCGTTGACTCTCCTTGGTGCAGCCATCCTTTGAGCATAGACGGCGCCACTGCTTACCGTTAAACTTCTTTCTGATACCAGTCGGGGTCGAGACTACATCCCCCTTCTTGTATTTGTGCGGGGTTGCCGCCTGAGATCTGAAAGAGAGGTTTTATGTTTAAAAAAAGCAAACAATTTCTAAAAGGTGCCTCAATATGAAAAATACTGGCACTGACTTCTAGTGTAACCCTATCAGTGGTTCGGTTTTACTACTTCAATGACAAAGGTAACAAACTCATTAGAAGCTCTACAATTTTGCAAAGTTCCTGTGGATATAATTTTACATAGATACATACATAACATCACGCCTTTTATCCCCGAAGGGGTAGGCAGAGGTGCACATTATGCCACTGTACAATGTAACACCCACTTTTCACTATTTATGCTATGAGTCCCATGTAATAGGGGGTGAGCCTATTGCCATATACCGGGCACAATTCCAGACTCCGTGCTACTACTGAGATTTTTTTTTAAAACCCAATAATACTTTAATTTATAATTTTAATATCGGTGAAAATGTGACTAAACTGGAAGCGTAAACTATCAAACAAAAAAGATATATTCGGTCCATAATTGGCGGTGGTGCATGGCGGAGTCGCTGCATATCGTTAAAAAATGACAAGAAACTGACGATAGTAAGTACCTCCTCCATTTTTTAATTCAGCAAATACAATCAAAATAAGAATTTACTATACTTTCATAACTTATCTACCATATCCAAGATTTTTTTCAGTTTAAGCCGAAGCTATTATAGTGTGGATTGATAAGAAGTTGTTAGCGTGCAGTCGACAATTCACACTGTATTTCTATACAAAGGGGCCGTTAAATATTACATAAGCAGATTTTTTACAAATACTTACCCCCCCCCCCCCCTTGTCAGCAAAAGTAAGCAAAGATCTTACCCCTCTCCCCCTTTGCTTACGTAAACATTTTAAATTATATCTTTTTTATATTGTAATTTTAATATTCTCCAAATACCATAATGTCTCGTTCTTTGTCGGTCTTTGCTTATAATTTATAATTTCAATATGAGGGTTGCTATTCGTGTAAAAAAAGTAAATGACTACCGATGACGTAATCATCATCTAGACTCCCCTACCCCCTATATCATCCGAAATAAGCAAAGTAGAGACCCCCCTACCCCCCCATGGTGCTTACGTAATACTTGAACGGCCCCAAAGCCGGATAGTACGTTATTCGGCAATTCGGCAGCATACTACATGGAGCAGTTACTCATTAATACAAATAATAAAAAAGTTCGGACTTCAAAAATCCATTAACTGGGCAATAAACTTCACGCGGTATGCCCCATAGGCATATCGGCCTACAGGGATAGACGAGCGACAGACGTACGTCTACTTTTGAATAAAGTTTGCCATTATGGCATTTTGCATTGCCATTATGACTCAAGCTTGAATAAAGACCCGACGAGAGCAATTAGCAGTAAGGTTATTTTGTTAATTGAACACTCAGATCCAGTTCATTAACTTACCTAGGAGTAGGAGGCTGGGACCTTGGTGTGAGACTTCTCTCGAGCAAACTGGACGTACTGCCTCGGCTCTGAAGACTGCTACGTTTGCTGTTACTGCAATCTGCTGACAAGTACATTCCTATTATATGTATAATAGCCAATAAATTAAAATTAACAACTTCACCTAAGTGGAAATTACATGCAGTTTTAAAAAAAAACCAATAAATCGTATCGCACTAACAATGTTGATAGTTGATAATTGAAATTCAGCTTACGTTGATAGCTAGATAATTATTCCGCAATGGCTAATAACGCAGACTAAATAATAATATTACTTTGATAAAATAAATGTTTCCGAAGCCAGGAGACTAATATACTAATACATAGCTAAGTCTAGACCAGCCATATTTAACCTTTTTTTTACTAGGGCCAAATAACGTAACAGTCATGTGATCCCGGGCCGCAAGCGATAAATTATTAGGTCATAAATTAAAAGTTAATCAAAGGTCTTGAGTGATTAATAGACGTCCTCTAAGGTGCAGATGACTGTTACCTTTTATTAATATTGGACTTTTGTATTCCCTTCTATAGTATACTTTCCAAAGGGGTAAGTCCGTTTGACATTATAACTTTTACCTATGATTTAGAAACAATTTCAGGCGTATGTAACGAACTATATATTCAATTCTCATGAACTGTGACGTATCATGAAATACAAAATAAACAATAGTTACCCATATGCGAAACGTCGGCGGGGAACATAATGTCCTCTCGTCGCAGATCGTCATCGCTTTCTCCGTAATCGTCGAAGGGCTGTCGCTTGCGCAAGTCATCCATTGAGCCGTTGGACAACGCACCCACCGTCACTACGCCACCGGCGCCCGCGCCGGGCATCGGGGATGACGTGTAGAAGTTATCGCCACCCATCTAATACAATAGTTAGTAGTTAGTACCTTTTCAATTTGAAATTGGATTAAAACATAAAAGTTTGTTTAAGACTTCGTGTTTTGTATTCATCCCAGGATAAAAATCATACCACGCCAAGTAGGTGTATGTATCGCTTAAATTAGGCAGAGATATAGACTATTAGATTGCAAGCATATATTCAAATAAACTTCCCCAAAGTTGTACTATTTCATATTCTGTGCCCAAAGTTGTACCAGCCGATCTAGAAGGTAATTTCGCGAAGCCTCGGTGAACATGGCTAAAACATCCGTCTTGTGTTTGAGGTAATAATATCGTGATGACGGTAGATTGTCGTCTCATTACTGGGTACATACCTGAGTAGGGACATGATGTAAGCGCAATGAGGGGTGCATGGAAGACGAGGTGTGGGTGCCAGCATCCTCCAGCTCATCCGCCCACGGAGGCTGCAGCAGTCTGATGTCTGCTCGCTTCACTTCCACCATTTCTTTGCAGAGATCACCATCTGTTACCTAAACCACAGTAGTTACTTGTACGCGAAAACTATTTACAATTACAGATTTCAGATAATGTATAATGACAACAATTTCTATGACTTCACGTTCAAAAGAGCCTTAACGTCTATACTTACGAATACAATCAGACAGACATTACATACATAGGTACTAAAACTGCCGTAGCAAAATTATGAGACAAAAAGTCGATATGTTATACATAGTTAAAACTAGTTTTTGGATAGATCGCGTTTTTCCTAGTTAAAACTACTTTTTACTAAATTCCTTTGTTAAATCTAGAATTAATTAATGCTTAAAATGGAATATTAGTTAATTTCTTACTGTACAACATGCTTTTTTCTAAGCGAGTCAGTTAAAACAGTTCTCAAAACTGATCGTAACTTATTCTCATCGATGACGATACCTCGTTTGATTCGACAAGTTCGGGAGAATCGCTTTCCGAGTGCCACCCACATAATTATGTACACTAGTTTCAGGTCAAAATAAATAGTTTGTATGGCTAAGGCTAAACAAGTCGTATTTCTGCTCGCAGGGTTTTTTTACGGAAGACAATCATCGAATAACTTCTCCCGCCTTGGATGAGGCGAGAGTGTCAGACTCTTAATAACTAAAAACCACCCCGTTCTCCTTCAAAATGCTCTCACTTTGAAGGTAACTAAATTGTCTCTTATACGACATATTATGTTACTAATTAATAAAATTCTTGTCTCAAAACATATTAATCAAGAACGAAACAGAAAACGCTAGTAGATCAGTTCCTTTGCTCCCAAATGTAGTTCTAATCTATCTAGGAAAAACTCTATCTGTAATTGTAACAGATATACATTTTGAAAGCATGCAACAAAGCGACTATGATGCAGTATCAATATCACTATCAATATCACTATAATCACAGTCTGCAACGTTACAACAAGATACCTTATCATTTACCAACGAAAAGAGATACATCTCTACTTAAGACTTCAACAGACACTAAGTCATTAAGCATTTAAGTACTTTGCAACAGATTGCATTATAGAACTCGTCGAAATAATTACAGCCGTATTTCGCATATAAACATTGTGTTGTATATCTTTAAATATTGTGTTGTTCATTCACGAGTTTAAACAAAAAAGACCTTTTTTTGTTTTCCCCTAATTGTGCCGGTGTGTGTACCTAAACCATATTAGACACATTTCCTAGAAAATCTATACATTTCCTAGGATATCAATATATTTCCTAGGAAATCTATACATTTCCTAAATAGCATTCCTATTTCTGACCGCAGAGTTTGAAAATTTTTAATTAGATAAAAAATCCCATCCCGTTTTGATGAATTTTAAACATTTTTAGAACAACATATTTAGGTAATCATGCAGTTAATTTGTAGTACAGTCATTTATTTGATATGCAGTAGGTTAATAGTGAAGAAGTTATGTTTGTTTAAATTTCTAAATAGTGATGTAGTTAAAATTCTTCATATTTTATAGATTTCCTACGATATGTATATATATGTAGTTAATAAATATCTAATTTTTTTAAACAATGTTTTATACGTTACATACATATTTTCTGAATTGTATACTTTTCCTAGTAATTTTATACAATTCCAAGATTTCATGTATTTCCGGTAACATTTAAAATGAAATGATTTAAGGAATATTTAGTATATTTTCCTCTCGCTTCAACTGTTTCTATATTATTATTATTGTAGATTCAACTCGAGGCTGTCAACTTTATTAGTAACTAGTAATTATGCATATCTTTTGGGAAGCCCATATTAAACTTAAATTATAAACAGGATATTATGCGAAACAAACTCACCTTAACTCTAATCCTTATAGGAGAATTAAGCACTTCATACACAAGACCTTCCACGAAAACATTTTGCACATTCTCGCGGCTAGGGTCCGTAGTCCTTACGACACACAGCGAGCCCATGTGCAGATGGCTCATTTGGGGGCTCGCGTCACTTATCACATCGTTCTTATTCACACCGAACACATCACTGTACTCCACAGGCTCATTCTCGAGCCCGTCGAACTCCACTATCACTTTACAACCCTCGGCCTGACGGATAACTCCTGGAACGTACAATCCCCGTTGCTTCGCCAGCACCCTGTGGTCCCGCCATTCTGACAAGTCAATATTGGGGTACGAAGTGATGTATGGCTTCATTTCTGAAGGCGGGGAAGAGCGCTGGATTATTGGAGACGGCTGCAGTACTGACTGTTGGTACTGCGGCTGGTACTCGACTGGAAGTGGTGCGTTCACTGTGTTGTTGTTTGAACAGCTCATTTCTTCCAGCACTGACGGGTCAAACTTCCGTTTCTTGGGCAAGTTTCGCACGGGAGCCTGGGTTGGTGTCTGTTGGGCCGCCGGCTGCGCATTGCTGCTGGCGTTGCCCAGGTTCGTGGGGTTGGCCATCGTTATGTTAGTAGTGGGGTGCGTTGATGATTGAGACAGGCTTACTGTGCCCACACTACTTATCACGGAAGCAGGTATCTGGAACAAAAGCCCATATTTATACATTCATAAATTATTAAAATCAGAAATAAGAACAATTTTATCGAAAAAAATATTTCAAATATGTATATTAATCTTTTTCTACAAATTTTGTGATAATTCTAATGGCCGTTTTCACCAACCATACCGGACCATCCCTTAACTAAAAGTTAATTAGCGTGACGTAGCACCTAAAGTAACCTCTTATTGGTACTGTTAGGTGTCACTTATAGGTTGGTGAAAACCATAAGTCGTTAAATGTCACCTATCTAAGCTTAGTACCTTAAAACATAGGCGAGGTTAAAAACGGGAATAAATCTAAAGTAATTAAAACGGTACGGGGTAACATTTACAATAAATCGATTACCTATTGCTGTATGATGAAAACAATAAAAGTACGAATAGACAACGACACTACACACTCAGTGTGTAAATTAAATGTATGATCACGAGTGTCAGTAATTAGAAAATTTATTGTGGCACGATAATTACTGACGCATCATGCGCCGGCTTATGATCCGTAATTCCGTGTAAGTGTAAAGTGTAAGTGTAAACCTGAACAGTACAGACATTAATTATGTCACAATTTGTGTTGTCGTCAATTCGTACCTTAAGGCATTCTTACAAAATAAAAATGTATGAAATAACTAGCCTAAAAACGCTTAATATCATAGTTTTCTACAATTTTATTATACAACTTTTTAATACCTACATAAAGAAACAATTCATTTAAAAAATCATAGTATTTTTTTATTAAATTAAAAAAATACGATTCTTTATATTTTTTATATTCATTCCGTCGATAAAATTAAACACACGTCATTTCGATTGGTGCACTTTATGAAGAGTCGCGCTGTATTATACTCTACACTGATACGAGGAATTTAAACAAATTAGTTTTCCTTATTGACATTGCAATATCTAAAAACAGTAATACCCATATTGAATAAAGCGTACATTATTTATTTAATATTTATATTGTATTAAATGGCCGTTAAATAACTTTTCAAAACGACCCAGTAGTTCCTGAGATCAACGCATTAAACCAACAAACAAACCCTTCAGCCTTATATATTTTATAGTAAAGTATAGATATAAGAAATATAAGCACAGATACAGATTGGTATTAGATTAATAAATTGTAAAAAGAAAGCATTCATATGTATTAGTAATTAGTTGATTAAATGAAGGTACTCATTAATTTATATCACTTCCATTCATGTCGAACACACGAGCACCATGAAATCAATGGCGCGAACGATAAGTCGGTAATGGCTTTAATGACATTCGTCATGAGCTTGGTTATTCATAAGATGCGTACTCCGCTATGAGTGATACGACACGTTATATAGTATTATGTATAAATAAATAACAAATTAAAACAGTGATTTATATTTGTATGAAATCTATATTGTTTACTTAATATATCCAGCTGATCAGTTTGTTTTTTTTTATTTGAAGGCGCTAATTTCAGGAACTTTTATTTTAGAGTAGAATAGCCATTTGTCGAGGAAGGCTGTAAATATAAAACATCACGCTAAGACCAGTAGGAACCAACCAGAACGGGTGAAACCGCGCGGGAGTAACCAGTTACTAATATATAAAGCTGAAAAGTTTTTTTGTTTGAAGGAGCTTATCTAAGAAACTACTGGCCCGATTTGAAACAAAAATTGTTAGCGTTTTAATATACATATGTTTTTTTTAAGGGGGGAAAATCATCGAATGACTGCTCCCGCCTGGGTGCGGACACAACAACGAAATAAGAAAAATACATACATTTAGTTTGTACTCGTAGATGGATACCTACGTCAAACAATTTTTCAACATTGATGCATAAAGTTTATTAAAAAGAATAAATGAATAAATAAATAGTGATTTAGTAAAAAGAATGAATAAATAAAATATTATTTTATTATTTTTTAATGTAAAATTATTGTTACTCTGAACTATTATTATTATCTTTATTCCATCAATGTCTAATATTAAATATGGGTTCCACATTCAAAAGATGTCGGTAAGTTCGCAACCATTGTATACGTCAAACATGTCTCGAACTTTTTTCACTATTACCCGCTATCTTACATGCGATTGTTTATTGTATGTACACATATATCCTTTGATTTTCGTTATCTTGTATGGGACACACATCCATAGAATTGATGGAAACGCCTAATTTATTAAGCGTGCTAATACTTTCAGAGAAACCTTCCGCGCGGGTGAAGCGGCAGCCGGAAAACTAGTCTTCATTTTACAATGTAGTATTCTATAAATACATCCTACATTAATTTATTATTGTTACTCTATATACAACGCTTCACAACTAAATATAGGTAAAATTAAATGATCACATTGTCCTAACCTAAACCATCAATATGAACTATGACTACATACATACTCACCATATTCGCTTTTAACCGACTTCCCAAAAAGGAGGCGGGTATACAGGTGTAATTGGGTGCAAATTATTCGACGATTTTTGTGATTAAACTCTACTAATGATAGTTATTATATTAGGCAACTTAAGAAAAAAATTGAACCTCTATGCAATACAGAAAAAAAAATACAATACACTTTCCTTCAGTCGGGTAAAAAAGGATTTTTGTGGTGTTCGGATGTTTATTTTACTTTGCACGGATTTTTATACTTGGAGGTTTATTTAAGTTAAGGTGTATTTTGTTCATTACTTTTAAGTAGTGTGATATTATGTTTGTTACGCGATTACTCCGATTAACCGTTTAGCCGTCGTATAAACGTACCCATAATGTATTAAGGCAGATTACACAATTCCACTGCAACATATACACAGATACGTAGTCGTTACAGAAAAAAATAAAGATTATTGTTTCCAAATTCCAAGTACCTGATCATCGATGTCTGCGTAGGAGTTGTGTGTGCGTACATTCGGGTGAGCGGTGGCGGAGGCCTGCGAATGCGGGGCGCCGCCCCCGTGAGCTCGCTGCATCACCACCGCCCGCTACCGCTGATCACTATTCCTCGCGTAACGCATGCCTGCAACAAAAAAAGAAACAATGACATTTATTACACACAAAGATGAATTAGACTAAAACTCACAGTTATGCATAATATATGTATGGGGTGTGAATGTGTGTCAAGTCTGCGTTGAAACGTGTACGAGTTCAGCTTGTGCAAGGCAGAGTCTTGAGCTCTTTAGGGGATCAGCTACGGTGACATCTCACATCCGGCTCTGGTTCAGGCCATGGAACGAGGGCAACTGAGATGCCGTCTCCTCCTTCTACGAAGCAGTCATGCTAGGTGATGAGGAGGCGCTTTGCACGAGGTAACGAACCTCCTCACGTCCCAGCCGACGCGGGAGATACTCCAAGGTGTATTTAGTCAGTAAGAGTTAGAATACGAGCCCTTTGGTGGGGCGAGAGGGATCTCACTGAAGGCGGAGAAGACATTGGATGATCAACACCCCTCAAAAAAAGGCCCTGCGCTGATGTTCTGCCAACATATTCATTGGTTCTTGGTACCTTGTACCTACATATCATACGAGCATGTGAACGGGCAAAATTAGTAGTTAACCAATAATTGGTGCACCGTTAACCTCACTCACACGACAAAACACAACGCAAGCGTTGTTTCACGTCGGTTTTCTGTAAGGCCGTGGTCGTAAACTCCGGTGAGCGCGCCCATTCGTGCCGAAGCATGGCCCACACTTAAATATCGTACACGTATCGGGATCGATCTAAGGTTTTCAGAGAAACTCCGTACAACTAAGGTCAAAAATCGATCACAATCTCCAAAGAGTTTTAATAATCGAGTTTTAATAAGAGTACTCCGCATCCATTATACTTCACGATGATTCAGTGTTTGTATTCTGTCTCATCAAATTGTAAAGGATTGCGTCACGTGGATTACGATAAATGTAAGTAACGCTGTACGCGTAGATATTATTTTATTATGCATAGAATATATCACATGTATTTTAAAAAATAATATTAGTCATACCAAACATCCAGTGTTGTGTGACGAGTGCAGAACAGTTGTCTTAGTAATCTTCAGTAACACCTAGAAAAACAACTGCCACAGTACTACTAAGCTACCGCTAAAACTGATTTTGTTTACTGAGTTCACTGTTACTATTACGATTTTTTCAGTGTATTGTATACGTGTGTACCTCAGCAATATACGAAGTATTAAATCGTTTATCTAGTGTTACGTTCTAAAGTTTGGATATGATATCAATATCAAGGTGTCACACTTAGCTAATCTAAGTAATCTCACTTGTCAGCTATTGATTATACAAGGAAATCATTCATTCATTCAACTGCGTAGTGAAGAACTAATTTGTCAATATCTATTTTCTTACAGCCTATAAAGAAAAACCTCTAAAAAATGCAGAAGTAGTTTGCAAACGTCTAAATAAATGTTTAAAACTATTACGTTCAGATGGTGACCTACATTGCTGGATACATTAGTCTGTTAATCTATTTAAAACGAAACGAAACAGGCATTGTATTCATACTGTAGATAAAATTACGAATCATTATGACAATGTCGCTTTATACGAACACCGCTCATTAGACCAAGAAGAGATCGACAGTGCGTGGCGTGGACCTATTTCATAGACAAGGTTGCGTCATAAAACCTCACAGAAGAAAGACACTTGTATTCAAAGCAAAAGTAGTACTTAACTATGTTGTATTATTTAACATGAATTGAGACAATGTATTCTATGTCAATAAAAAACTCACAGGGCATGAGGGGTGTTAAAGGGTCTGACGGGTTAAAACAGAATTATAGAACCGAAATATCTAGACACATTCACAATTAACTAGTAGACCAGTGTAAGAATTATTCCTTAATGTTGTTATGTCGTATTATTATGATTACAATAAAAATAAAACTCGAACTCATGTCCTGACTGACTGACTGACCGACTGAATCATTATCGCCATGCGCAAACTATCAAGGCTACAAACATGAAATTCAGATTGTACATTCACTTTGTTATGTAGGTATCCACTAAGAAAGGATTCTATAAAATTCCACCAGTAAGGGTTAAAAATAGGGGATGATACATATGAAGACCAGTCGTTTTGAAAAAAAAATTAAAAATGAAAAGCATTTTCTGGTATTTTAGAATATTTACATACAAACTTAAAAAAGATGAAACGACGGTTTAACGTTTGATCTGTGGAACACTGGATTGGACCTACTCTTTGAGCTGGTAAACCCGTTAAGTTTTCCGCGGCTCCGTAATTATGGTATACGCAATCCGACTTCATGAGGGTGGAAATTGTACCACGGACGGATATTTAGTATTGACCAGATGATAATGTTTCATAATAAAAAATGGGGATTCACGCCCCTCACGTCGTAGTACGGGAAGAGACTCTAGTTTTAAAAAGTCATTTATAAAACCTGATAATTTTGTAAGTAATAGTTCTCCCTTTATAGCTGTGAGCGTCAGCCATTCAACTACCGTTGCAGTCAGAATCAGAGTTACGTGAAAGTCGCCAAAAATAAGTTGACTTACAATCCTTGTTTGTTTGTTAAAAAAAATCTTAATGATTTTAAACAAAAACAAAATAGTCATCGTCATATTTTACAAGCACACTAATAATATAATTCTCATTTTTTTATGTACAAAAATATGTTTTTACTGTAATCCTTTTTTTATAGTTTTCTGATATTACTGAAACTACGTATGTGACGGGCTTAAGTGTCTCCTAAACGATCCGACCGGTTCTGTCCTAATTTGCAAGCATCCCAGTATTCCAAGTGGTTTTATTTTTAATCTAATTCCTAAAGTGGAACCTATTTAAGGCGCGCTCATCCGACAGTTGAAATTGGACAGCGAAATGGTTTTAAATACGAAACTATAAAAATAGGAAATGAAAAGAAAGAAATTGTTTCTAGTTGCAATAATGGATTCTATACATTTTGTTTAGCAATTTCAAAGCAAACAAAGGAAGTTAGCAGGATCTGCTGATGCATTACGTAGTTTCTTGATATTTAATCAAGGTGTTACGGTGTGTGGGTTTGTGGGGTCAAGGCCCTGCTGAACCCCCACCCTTCCGGTATGATCTGATGTTGTTTGTTGAAGTAAACGTCACAATCTCACTCGCAGTGGAAACAGGGTTGCCGGAATACTGAAACGTTACTCAATTTTAAGTCGTGCTTAAATATCGTGCCATCTCTGTCATTTTATAAAGAATTTGTAGAGACAGAACTATAATTAAGCGCGACTTAAAATTGAGTAGCGTTTGAGTATTCCGACATAAGTCTACCAAACGCTATCGTACCAAGTTTCACTCAAATAGCCTCAGTGGTTTGAAAGATAGTGTCCCGGGCTTTTAACACACAGGTTCTCGTTTAATACAAACTTTCAACCAATGGGGTTGAAAGTAACCACCGTCTAGAGGTAGGATTTGAATTTCGTAAAATCTTGTCTTAACAAGCATCATCTTAATCCCCGTGCAAAATTTAAAACTCCTAGAAGTTTCATACTAACTCTCAACTACCGGAACGAACCCTTTAGAGATAGAATTTTGCAAAAACCCATTATAAGGTCAACAAGCACGGCTCCAGCATGGCTGTGGAGCTTTGCTGCGGCCCATCAATGTCATTGTCATTTAAATACATACATACATAACATCCTTTGCCTTTTGTCCCCGAAGGGGTAGGCAGAGGTGCACATTACGGCACTTAATGCCACTCTACAATGTAACACCCACTTTTCACTATTTATGTTATGAGTCCCATGTAATAGGGGGCGACACTATTGCCATATACCGGGCACAATTCCAAACTACATGCTACCAAAGATTTTTTTTAAAACCCAGTTGTACTTTGCCCGACGCGGGAATCGAACCCGAGGTCCCTTACACGGCAGTCGCACTTGGGACCACTCGGCCAACGAGGCAGTCTGTCATTTAAATATGAATTTAAAATCGTATACCGTATGACATATTTCATAACGTCAATATAAGAAAAGCTGTAAGCTCACCGTCAGCGTGCGGTTATTGTTTCTAAAGCAAAAAACGGCGTGTCGGAGTCGTGCTTGGTTAGTGTGTGGATGATCTTAAAGGTCATCCTTTAAGATCATCAAAATTTCACACTCCTGGCACTTGAAACTTTATTAATTTATCATCGCCGAGCGCAAAACTATCAATTCTACAAACAGGAAATACGTACTATACCTATATTCGCTTTGTAGTTTAGAACCAATTAAAAAAAAATAGCTCCCTTAGAATTCAAAACAGTTAGGGGACAACTAACAATTTGTATGAAAATCGGTCAATTTGAAAGTAAAATAAACGAAGTTTTGTATTTTGGTTATTAACGTAAAATAAATAAATACGTATGTCAATAAGGGTGAAACGGGGATTGAAAGTTTCTTATACATTGCTAACTACAAAGTTGTTCGAATTGTTTACTATGATTACTCACACGTAAAAGTTAATGGGATACCAATACACACAAGGATAAATTGGTTTGCTAACTTAACTATACAAAAAGAAGTGACTAGGCGTGGTTTAGTAGATACAGTACCTAAACACAAACGGGCAAAATAATTACGAAATTATTAAACTTCTCTTGACTTTTTATGGCGTGAGTCACTCATAAGATAAACGAATACGTAGGTATTTCGAGAAAACGGCTAGGTAACATTAAGACCACTTCTCCTATACAAAAACCCAGTTAGGTATAATAATTGCAATATCATTCTCCCAGCGACAATGGGACGGACCGTTCTGCAGAAAAGTAAGACAAAATCTTCTAAACTCCTGTTGCACTGCGGCACGCGGTTGCCTTTGTCTAATCTAGGCACCATGTTAGACGAATTCGAGCTCCTTTTTGTTCGCCTCATCGGTGTGAATTACCGACTTTTTTTATAATATACGTATTTTTTATAATTATTTCCTTGGAAAATGGGTAGACCTTTAATATATCTAGACTTAGCTCACAAGGTTATCGACATGTGGAGTGTCT